GGCTCTGGTCGGTGCTAGTAAATCCCTAACTTGTTCCTCGAGATATCCGATTCTATGCGTCAGTCTTAAGTTATCGGATCTAAGTGTCCGCAGTGCAGCGAGTGACTCGCCTTTTCGTAATACTACGATCTGTGCCGCGTCCGGTGCGACAGCTAAGAGTCTCGTCAGATCGTTTTTGTTAGCTCCAACAACGAGTTTCCCGTTCACCTCGAGTATCCTACGGTAAAGTCGTTGGATAGTGTTAAATCTAATGTTAAAATATCAATATTAAATGTTATCAGTTTGTCTAATTGTTCAAGAAAAATGATTCTTGCGAATGTGTTTGTTTACATTGTACTGTATGCATGTACATATACATTAGGTATCATGGTTCTTTTCAACATTTTTTCGCTCGATATATCAAGTACATTTAGCTCGACGAAAGAATTTCTTTTACGATGTTGGTTCAACAACACATTTCCTCGGCGAGTGAACACGACGAGTAGGATGAAAAAGTCAAGAGAATCAGAGAAGTAAACTGACATAGGAGGAGTAGGAGGAGGTGAGTAGAGTCAGACAGAAAGAGAAAGAAAGGAAGAAGAAACGTACAAAAGAGGGAGAGAGAGAGAGAGAGAGAGAGAGGTGAAAAGGGACAGGGTCGTGTAAAAGACGGAGGTGCAATTAGCGGGGGCACCAGGCGAACTTCCGGTGATTTCGCCGTATTTTACGACGAGTCGTTGGGAACCTAGTACCAAGATCGCGCTATTGTTTAACCACGATATCCATAAAACGGGCACCCGTAGTAACGCGCGTTGCAGCTATATGGCTATGCTCCTCTTTAAGCGGTCACCGTGATTCAAATGTTCCACAATATGAGTCACGTTAGCCTATTACCAACTTGTACACATTAGGTAGACTCGAATACGTTCAATTATCATTAATTATTCTTTTATCTTATTTCATTGAAAAATTATTCAATCTAAATTATGTCAAGTATAACGATTCCAAGATAACCAAACAAATATCCAGGGTATATAACCATTATATTGAATGAAAAAATTCGAAAAGTATATGCAACAATGATTTATAAAGTCATCGCACATCTCTTCTCATGGATGCAAATCCCAACCGACCGATTTCACACCTTTCTTCTTTGTATCCTTTTAACAATGCATTATTATAACGGCTACGCCGTGGACTGAGTTGATTTTTAAGGAAGCTGTTTTCGCATTTAATGCGCCGAACAATTAATATTAAAGAAAATCAAGTTTCATTAATGGATATGGCTTGCATTCCTAATTATGATAATTGAATGATGTACCATACATGTACCGTTATTTTTCAACAAATCACTGGGATATATTACCCATTCTGTGGTCACTTAATCATTATTAATTACTTGAGGATTAAATGTAATTGTATTTTTAAGGTGGTTGATTCGAATCATACCTGTCTCCCTTGCAAAGACCAGAATCTTCAACGGCCCAATCGACATAAAGGCCAGGCATCTCGTCTCTTGGTCCAGCACCGAAACGAGGACTCTTTGGATCGGCACTGACTTCGACGGCATGTACGGTGACTTGCGTTGACCCGGAAATACAGCTAAGATGATAGATTTGTAATAAGCATGACAAATAAAACTCGAAGTGGTCTAAACCTAAATCTAAATTCGTCCCCCTCCCCCTCTCTTCTTTTCTGTCGAGTTACTGAAAAGATTACGATGTAAAATAAATAAAACACAATGGAAGGGGATAACAGTTGTTGTGTTACAGGATCTTTTCTAACATTCTGTAGCTTGGTCGTTCGTAAAGTATTCATCATGCTGTCTCATCGTGTGCCGTGCGGAATGTAAAGGATGGAAATAAATTTCGCATAGATCTTCGAGAGCAATTGCATCACGAGACAAACGTACTGACAAATACCTACCAAGGTAAAGGTAGATGATACAAAGAGGCGAACCAACCTGTATATGGTATCATTTTTCCGTTTCTCCTGGGTTTCTGCCAATTCCAACGCCGTCTGAAGAGTCCTGCTCTCTTCGCGTAAAGTCAAAAGCTCGAGTTCTTCGCGACCTAGCCTGTATTCCAGTTCTGCTTGTTGTATGCGAACGTCGATGTTACTGAAATAAGAATCGTGGAGCGAGCTTCAATCTCCTCGACTTACGGAAACGAACTTTTCTTGATGGTTTTCTCGCGGGAAACACGAGACACGAGTTTCTATTTTCGTTCGTTGTACTTTGGACACGTACTTTAAAAAATAAAAAAAAAAAAAAAAAGAAAAAGGAAAGAACGGAAAGAAGAAATTTATGAAAATATTAAGTGCATTTTAAGTCTTACTCGGTTATATCCAGACGTTCCAAAGCTAGTTTAAGATTCTTTATAGCCAATCTCTTGTTGTCTGCGTCACGTCTCAGCCTTTGAAGTCTTTCCTCGGTAGCTTTCCTGTCAGCCTCGGTCAAGGGTGGTGCAGCACCATTTCGCAAGGCTAGTCGGTTGCTCAAGCTATTGCACAATTGACCCTTCAGTCTATAAAAAGAGGAAGAAGAAGAAGAAGAAACGAAAAGAAAAATAACAATGGACTGGATGGAGGATGAAAGGTTCTTTGAGAAAAGAAGAGAAGGAAGGGGCCCACTTACGTCTGTATAATATTTTCCTTATCGCGAAGGGCTACACGAAGGGCGTCGAGTTCTTTATAATGATCTTTATTACGGTGACCGGCGGAAGACGTCACCCCACCAGCTAGACTACCACCCTTCTTTCTTCTCGGTGTCGTCGAAAGGGATACTTCAATACTCGCCATCTGAACAAATAAAATATAACTCCAAATTTTATCATCTATCCCGACGCTTATCAATGTTTGATAAGCAGACATTAAAATTTATTTATTAATGCATATTAAACTGTATATGATTCCATAAAAAGCTATGATTTGTAAGGAATTAACATTTTTAATGATAAGTACGTTATCACACAAGTTTTTCTACTGTAGCGTGTTTGTGCACGTATATAGCTATATATATATATATATATATATATATATATATATATATATATATATATATATATATATATGGATATATATGGATATTAAAAATAAAAAATAATAATAATAATAGTAATAGTGGTAATAATAATAATCGGTGAAAGTTCAGACTATTATTTGTTCAAGTCTATAAAAAAGAGGAAAGAAAAACGAAATTTTCCATTTCCCATTTTCCATTTTCTCTCGGAAAAAAACAACGAGAAAACGTTCTCTCTCGAACCTCTTCCGTGATAGTAAAAGAGTCTCTCGTTGATGGTAATATCATTGTTCTGATTCTCTCATGCTTTTCTCCCCACCGTACCGAGGAGTACGTTAGTTTCCGGGAAGCTTCAGAGACGGCCATTAGATATGGGAACCTGTGCACGCTTTCATGAAGGGAAAATAATACTCTCTCGATGCGTCTACTATATATAGCTACATAGATACCTATTTATCCGACTTTCGTTATTACCGGTTGGATCTTCTCTGATCAAACTCGAGAAAAATTTGTCTCTTTTTTATCTCTCTCTCTCTCTCTCTCTCTCTCTCTCTCTCTCTTTCTCTCTCTCTCTTTCTCTCTCTCTCTCTCTCTCTCTCTCCTTTGTTATCATACATGCAATATCCATTGATAAAGTTGTATAAACCAATATAGAATCTCTTTTACATCGCAAGAAATGTTGTGATATTAAAGAGAATCGTAAGATAAATTCGACGAGATTACTTGAAAAATATTTTGAGAGAACTTTCAAAGAAATATACTTTGATGGAAACTTTACTTTGTACACGAGCTACAAACTGATCGTTTATTCCTTCTCCGAATATACTGCTTTATTATTTCATTTTTATCTTCTTTCTGAAAACTTCCTTTTGATTTAAGAGAAAGAGAGAGAAAAAGATGAATTTTATATTTGGTGTATCTTACATGTTATACGGTTTCTAGGGGAAAGTTAGAATTAAAACGAAATAATTCTAGAAATATTATCTATCCAAATACATGATGAATTTAATTCTTTAAAAATGGAAGGAATAAACGTTTAAAGCAATAAAGTCGACAAAGAAAATCATTAATATTAATTAAGCGATTATCATATCAAAAGATAAGTCGAGGCAGACGAAATGTTTTCTTACAAATGCTGCTTCATGAAATTGAGGGCATTCGAATGTAAAAAAAAAACAAAAGAAAAGAAGAAAAAAACGGACAAAAGAGAAAATAAGAAAGAAAGAACTTCGAAAAGGGAGTATAGTTGACTACTGACATAGGACCCTAACACGTTCAAAGGAATAACAGCTTCGCAGGAGAAAGAGAGAGAGAGAGAGAGAGAGAGAGAGAGAGAGAGAGAGAGAGAAAGGGAGGGAAATAGAGTTGGGTGTACCTCAGCATTTTTATGACTGGTACCTGTTTCGCAAAAGAACTCAGAGGTACATCGAGCCGTCCCTGAGTAGGTGGTAACCACGAGGGAAGAACAAGAAGTCTGATCTTTTTGTAAAAACAATCGAAAGACAAAATCGAGAGAAAGTTAACGAGCGAAACTTAGGAATACTTAATGAATTATATTTCATTTTTCTTTTTTTTACATTTTTAAGACAATTGAAAAAAAAATTAAAAGTTATAACTAAGAGAGTAGGAAAAAAATGAAATGTTGTTTGAAAAATCATTGGCGTCGAACATTAGAAGGCGGGGAGGGGGAAGGAGAAAAAAGATTATGCGATGGCGTATTCGACGCCATTGCGTATATAGTGATGCGGGTTCCCAAACGCGAGTCGGGCTTTCTTTGCGTCCCGCATCTGCATATAAATCACTGGTTGAACGGCCTTAAGATCTCCCGTGGGGGCTATCGCCGAACCGCCAATAAAAGCGGCCCATCGCCTTCGCCTTTACTTTTTTTCTTGCTCATTTTTTGTTCATTTCTTTTCTTTCACTTTTTCTTTTTTTTTTCCCTACCTCTTCCTTTATCCTCCAGGAAGAAGAAGAAGAAGAAGAAGAAGAAGAAGAAGAAGAAGAAGAAGAAGAAGAAGAAGAGTTACACCTCGATCACGTTTTAAACGACAGTCGACTGTAAACAAACGGACGTGCACGTGTCCGAACGGTAAGACTCTCATCATTTCCATTGTCGAGACTAACAAGGATAGAATTAGGAAATTCAACAAATTACGACAATTACAAACTACTTGCGACCCTTGTTTAATCAAGCTTTCTCGATTCAGGGACAAAAAAGTTCTGCGAAAAAAGAGATTTAAGAAAGTTTTTTCTAACACTTTAGTTATAACCAAAATCAACATCGATTGTGACAATTTAAATTATTATATATATATATATACATACATATATATATATATATATATATATATATATATATATATATGTATACATATATATTTGCCTATTTTTGATCGCGTATTAAAATTATGTAAGAATTATAATAATGTGCTGTTTAGGAAAAAAAAAGAGAAAAAAAAAAGTAAAGAAACATACATATTTGCGAGATCTATGATGAAAATGTAAGAAAATTTTTTATACTCGCCGTATCTCTCTCTCTCTCTCTCTCTCTCTCTCTCTCTCTCTCTCTCTCTTTCTCTCTCTCTCTTTTTCTCTCTCTCTTTCTGGACAGGCCGAACGGATTTTACCACTTAAAGTACGGAATTTACGAGCAAAAAAAAACTAGATAATTCATTAAATACGTTCCACGTTCTTTGACAGTTCTTCTCGGGTAAATACGTAAGTAGCTTGCACGGTTTGCTTCCGCGTTCGATAAGTTCACTCGAAGGGCTTAATCGCAAAATCCGGCTTCGATGAACTTTATGACGAATATATTACCTTCGCCTCCAAGGTCTCCAGTTGCGCCATTCTCGGCTCCAATAGTTGTTGCTGGGCACCGGTATTGGTATGTAGAGCGGTCTGAAAGAAAGCAGTTATTGTTGACGGTAAATAATAGTCGCAACGAAGACCGGGAAATTTTATTAAAAAAAAAGCACTCTTGAAAAGTGAGTAAAGCCAAACGTAAAGCCTTTAGTAAAAAAGAAAAAAATCATTAATAACTTAACTTGAAACAACTATTGTTCACTTCTCACCACAAATATCGAGCGAAAGTAAGAATGCTCAAAGACACACTTAGACGGACTACACAACTATAGTTAAAGAATTAGGTCAACGTGCAGGACGCGCGATGACCTTTCGCACTGTCCAACAAAACCAGTAACGAACGATGATTACAACGAGCCCTGATCCTTTTGAAAAGATTCTTTTCTATTTTACATATCATATTTTTCTTCAATCTCGCAAAAGCATAATAAAATAGAAACGATTTAAAATCAATGTAATCCGCTTCGAAGGGAGCCTCCTCCTTAAAGTACATCTTCTGCTTCCAACTAAGAAGATCAACGAGTTGTGATTCTTATAAATCCTCCTGTGATTCATCTCGCCCATATAATGCGTGCGCGCGTGTGTATATGCATATATGCATGTATACATACATGCATATATATATGCATATAATATAGTATACGACACATGCAATGCCGTTTTCGTTACGAACCGTGAAATTGCATGGCAAGGCGACGTTTGCCGACAACTCCCTCTCCTTCATTGAAGTTTCTCACGGAAACAAGATAATATCTATCTTTCGTATCTTTTCGTTAAATATCGTTCGACATAGCTACCTTCGATGACAATTATAGGATCGATCTGTTAAAGCGACCTCCAAAGTCAATACGTTGTTTCATTACACATAGGAAAGACACATACTCGTGATTGCGAATGCGTTCGCGTTTCGAGAGCATTAAAGTAAAAGGAAAATATTATAACCGGCGGCTATCTTTACGCTGCTAACTCAGCTAAGTCGAGGTAAGCTTAACGATCGTTAGGTGAAATTAATTTAATTCGATTCGATTACGTGAGATTTATAATAAACGACGGACAAATGAAATTAATTTATTCGAGATTTCGTACAGACAATCTCTTATATAATAAACGAAAATATGTATAATTTATCTATCGAAATAATAAAGAGGAAACACTGACTGATTAAACCTTATAAATCACAATCGAATAAAAATATGTTCGTTAGGTTGAACTGTAGACGTTTAAATGCTCGTTTTATTTTCAAGAAAAAAATATATTTTATGTGTATGCGTGTGTGCGTGTATATATACGTGCGTGCTCGCACGATTTGCGAGCGTAGGATGTGAGAATGCACGCGTGCGAATGGTGCACGTAGGACGAGCATAAAAGCACGAGGAAGAGACGAAACTTTAATTTTGAAGTGGACACAATAACGGAAGGAAGCGAAATATGATAGCTGATAATAACGTAAAAAATTCGCGATTAGTTTAAAAAATGTTAAACAAAAAGATGACAGGGTGTGTGTGTACGTGCGTGACCACCAAACAAAAATCCTTTCTTTTCCTTCTTATTTTATCTTCGAACCAAGATTTTCTCTCCGTAAATGGCTTTCATGTTACACTATTTCCTTTTATTCTCTACTCTAAAAACCGGTGCCTCCATTTTTTGGCCGGGCCTTCCTTGGCTACACTCTATAATTATGATAACTACCTAAGGTCTTTCTATTAAATCGAGGAATTTGCAGGCTCGCCAATTTTTGGTTCACGTGACTTTGAAAATTCAAAGGACCTATGGAAGTAGTATTTTTAACATTAACACGTTGAGAGTAACAAATTCTATTCGTTTAATATTTTTCGTCATTTTTTTTTCTTTCTTTTTTTTTTATAGATGAAAGACAGGAACAAACTTAACAAAATTTGAAACTTTACTATTACTAAAAACATTTAGATATAAAAAACGACACAGGAATGCATTAGATTTTACTTATAATTATCTAACGATTTTCTTGTTGAAAGTTATATTGGGTACGATCGTCGCGCATAGTTTTGGCGCATCAAACGATAATCATCACGCCTACGGTTCGAAACGATTGAAAGTATATATCGTACGCGCAACTCGGAAAATATCTTAGCAGTCTTTCGCTTTATGATAAATACAGGCGCATCGATACATATTTGCATATAATTAGAACTCACCAATGAGACCGATCGTTGCTCCAGTTTAACACCACCGCGATCGTCTTTATCGTCGCCGCAATCTGTCGTATAAAACAATACGCTTTTCTTCGAACCTCTGTAATCAAAAAGAAGAAAAAAAAAAAGAAAAAAAAAAGAAAAAAATATATAATTATTCATTATAAAAGAATAATTATTTGTTCCCATTAGTTCATTAGAACATCCTATTAACGCTTTAAAATGTTTTTCTACCTTGACGAGAGAATTTCGAATTTCGATTAAAAGTCATTGAAACATAAATCTTTTTCGAGTACGAGTTGCACGGCGTTAGAGAAGATTCACGAACGTGTAACGCATAAATTGATACGATTATCGGCTCAACGATGCGGACTTAACGCGATGAACTTTGATAAACTTTTTTATTATCTGTAAGCTCCCACGTGAAGATGTTTATCGATTCGTGGCATGTAATACGATTGATAAGCAAGAAAACGATACGAAATAAAAGATATAAGAGCAAGGAAATATAAAATTAGAAAGAAAATGATGTTAAAGACAAAGTATCGTCGAAAGACAAACAATGTCTATGCATTTAAAGATAATCACACCTGAGTGCCTTCCCATTCCTGCTGAACGGTTGACGTTCGGCGAGCGTGGCTGGACCGGTGTAAACCCGGCTTTCGCTCATGGCGAAGATCTTTGCAACATCGCACCTCGTCTTCTTAATCGGCTCACAACGAGGACATCTGTAACCGAGAACCGAATGTATTCCCTCGAGATGAGTCGAGTCGAGTTTCAACCAAGGAATCTTACAATTTTTTCAACGTTCATCTTTAAACATGATCCAAGAAACGATTACTTTAGATACCAATATATGCCATTAATTTTTATATATATACATATATATATATGTATATATATATATATATATAAATTGATAATTTTAATTGTGATTTTAATTTAATTGTAACTTGATTCTTATTGCGAAACAAACAAAACTTTATACGTTAAAGGTACGTAATGTATTTGTAAAACTGTAACACATTTGTAATACATGCCGATGCGAAGACGTCGATGCAGGTCCTTGCATCTCTTATAAAAATTTGATCAAGCGTTATGTACATGTAGTTGATATCAGAGATAGTCTCGCTACTGATATAAAACGTATCAATCATTTAATTATTCAGTTGCATAGGTTTCGGTAAATGGTAAGATAAACAAAAACAAAACAAAATAAAAAAAAGAAAGAAAAGAAAAAATAGAAAAAGAAGATCGATTCTATTCGGAGGATTTTCGCGAAGAAGAATTATACAGAGGGACCAATGAGAGACAGAGGAGCAGGATCAAGGAGACTGAAGAAGGAGAGATAGAGAGACGCTTCGACCCCGACCCCGACCCGTGGGCCCGAGAGAAGGCCCATTATTCGAGAGCGAGAGAGAAAGAGAGAGATGGAAGCACGAGGAAGGATAGGAAAAGAGAATGATAGAGGTTAAGCAAGGCGAACGAAGAAGGCAAGAGAGCTTCCTCTCTTTTCTCATCCGGCTCTCTCTCTCTCTCTCTCTCTCTCTCTTTCTCTCTCTTTTTCTCTGATCGCCCACAGCAGCGAACGTTTGTGCGCAACACACATACGTATGAGCATCTATCGCAGAGATTTAACTTACATTAAACTCGCGCACCTCCCTTTTCCCATTGTTCCCCGTTATTATGCGAGTTAACGTTTAGTCTATACGTTGATACGTCTACAACAAAAAGTCTAATCAATTTTTCTTTTTTAGCTTTTATATTCGTGTTCTAAAAATAACCGATCAGTAAATTAATTAAAAGAGATAAGAGGAAAAGGGACGATACGATGTTTTTTGCTCGGCCTAGCGAATGGATTAGTTTAAAATTAAAGGGAACGTCTGGGAAGGGAAAATCTTTGAAATATATTCTCTAACGGCCAAGTAACATCTGCCGACAGGTGCTTAGGGCGTTACGCTTAGCTGTCCAACCCCCTAAACGAAAGATACGTGAAACTTTTCGCCTCGTTGCGCATCGCGCTTATTCTCATCGAAAGTTTTCATTTGCAAAAACCCCTTGCAATATGCCACAAATGACCATATGGTTTGATTAGATATGATTCATATTTCGGTATTTAATTCGCTTTTAAGAATAAGTGAAGTTATTAAAAGTACAAAGGGAGAAGAAAGTTTTTTGTTTATTTTAATTATTTCTTTATTTTTCTTTTGTTGTTTGTAATCGTGAGATCGTTCCGGCTATTTAGATAAAGTTGATATAAGATAAGATCGGTAGTAAGATATAAAGAAGCTTTAAAAAAAATAGTAAGCTAAGATATCGATTATTTCAACGATTGTTGAATGATATTTTCTCGAAAAGGAGAAAGCATCGCGGTAACTACAAGCAAAGGATAAATTTGTAAAATAAAGCGATTCGAAGTATGTCGAAGCGATCCGGATCCGGTTTGGCAGTTTTCGAGCTCCTCGAAACTCGGACGAGTAAAAGAATATCGATGTTCGAGCTCGGTTCGACGTAGGCGATTGTCCAACCGCTATAAATTTCAAGTAGGCGCTATCTTCGACGAGCCGACGCCACTGGTCTTCCCAGTATTTTTATTGAGCTCGTATATTTGCCGGTACGCTCAACGCAATACGGAAAAACGACAGTGACGTTTCTTTTCAGATATTCTCGAAATTCGTCGTATATACGATTCTTTTTATAATATACGATCGAATATTATTACTCGAAAGGTAGAAATCATCGATGTCTCATCGTCGGGAGGGTTGAGCTATAGGATCCCATTATAAAGCGACCCTATCGCAATTTACCGTCGAGCTCGTTCTTCGCTTGAGTACGTCTCGTTCCCTCTCGGTAAGATGTCTCTCGCTCAAAAATTCTCCAACGTTCGAAGCATGCTCGAGCAATAAGTAGCGGCGTTCTATCTTAACGGTCTCAGCCCTTAATTCCTCCATTCTACGTTCCTCCTCGAATTCCCTCTCGATCCTACGAATTTCCTCGTCCCTTATCCTCCGACGTTCGGCGATCATTCGTTCGAGATCCTTGCGATATCTCAATATCGCCCTTCTCTTCGCTTCGGCCGTTAATCGAAGAGTTCTCTCGTCTTCGGCCAATCTCCTCATACTCTCCTCGGCGAATTCCTTATCGCGCAATAAAAATTGAATCTTGCAGAGCTCTGTCAAACTAATCTGTTCGTTCAAAGAATCAAGTAGTTCCAGGGTCCTCGTGGTTCTTAACTTTTTCTCCTTCCAATCCTTGATCGTTCGGTCAAGCTCGATCTCCACCAGGACGAGTTCCTCGAGGAGGACTTCCCTCTCTTGCTTTCTCATGTCCTCCTCGAGAATCGTCGATAGGAGCGACGTAAGAACCCGTTCTCGTCGTTCCTCGTGCTCGTTCGCCCGGCTCCTCGCTTCGTTCGCCCTTCGTTCGATCTCCCGCGAATATCTCTCCCCGTCCCTCTTTATCCTCTCTTCCTCCTCCCTCTCGTTCGCCCTACGAATCTCCCTGAGCTCCGCGACTATCCTCCTCTCCTCCGCCCTCTCCGCGCGCAGTTCGAGTTTCCTCTCCAACGTCCTCGACTTCTCGCGCTCCTCCAACCTCCTCTCGACCTCCTCGAGGACCTCTCTCTCCCTTAGCCCTTCCTCCCTGCGTCTCTCTCTCTCCTCCCTCTTACTCGCCTCCCTCTCCGCGAGCTCGCGGCTCGCGCTCTCTCTCGCCTCGGCGATCCTTCGGAGACGACTACGCGCCTCCTCCTCCGACTCGATCGACGCGCGCAATCTATTCGCCTCCGTCTCCAAACGACCCTTTGCCATATCCAAACTCTTCTTGGCTTCTTTTGATGCGATCTGAACCTTCAACGATTTCTTCCAATAAGCTCGCCTCAATTCGGCCTCCAAATCCGCGATCGACTCGTCCGTCGACTCGCGATTTCTCCGATTCGACCAAAACAATCCTCTTCTTCCGAAGTCCACCCGACCCTCTCTCTCCATCGTATATATTTTGTATAGTAAGTTCAAAATATAAATGTTAAATTTAATCGAATCATAGATCGATTATTTTACGATTATTTTATTATATTGCGATCATACGTTTACGATTATTTTATTTCCATTCGTCGATGTGCAGACACAAGTAACATTGCGAGGTTATTCTGAAATCGAAAATTTGTCAAACTGTAGAAAAATCTCTGCCAGAGAAGCCAATTCGAGAAATATTAATACGATCTTCGTTCGAATATTTTCTATTTCCCGCATTCTCGCTCATACGGACGCCATTATTCCCTCCTGCGCTGCGTCATTTGAATCGAACATAATTTCGCGCGCATTAACCAACCGTCGAAACGAAACGAGTAGCAAAGTGACAAAGCTCGACGAGCGATAGAAAATTGTTAAATGTCGAATTATATGACGGAACGATACAAATGAAGACGACAATGGCGATTAAAACAATGATATCACTTACTTTTCATTCAAACGAAATCCAACGAATCAAGTGCGACATTTCCACCCTTTTTCATTCTCGTCCTTATTTCAAAAAAATCTCCTTTCTTATCCGAATTTTGCACTTTGTTTGGAATGGTCAATCAATCCCAATAGTTTTTTTATCACATAAATCGAGTCATAAATTGCAGAAATCAAAATTCAACGAACGCGCACGAACGTACGAGGCGATGGTTCGAAAGCGACTAACCACCGGCTTTCCTATCGCGCCGACGCTATGCAGTCCGAGATGGCGCTATACGATAAATATTCTCCAATCAAAAGGGTGTATTTAGTAAAAACTAACATTCGTATCTTTACGAATTTTTAGCGGGAATTATAAATTGTCCTTCGCCATACCGCATTATTTTTCTCAACAGTTCGAAAATAATATAAAATATATAATATACGTATATTTCGTAACTAAACTACTGTTACGTTTAAACTACCATGATTTTCTATACGTCCGACTTCATTATCAACGTATATGTGTGCATTCGTGTACAATAAATACCGTTTAACTTTTAAATAGTTTTATATTAAAAATCAAGAAATATTTCTTTATTTCTATGTACAGAGAGATGGCAAGATTTTTCTTATCTCTCTTTGCTGCTTTTTAAGCTTTAACAAAAAAATAATTATCATTTTCAGTATTACATATGGCGCCTGATTGTCGTCGAGATATTACAAAAAAAATGGGAATAAAAATATATGAAAGAATCTAATACTAACGATTAGATTATCTTATTTATTTAATGATCATTGGCCTATATACAGAAAAAACAGGTATTTCGATTACTCTCCGAGCAACCATAAAAAGATTTTGCGATTGTTACCTGTTCTAACAAATAATGATGAGTAGTTACTAATGTAATCTCATAAATATATTCTATTACTCATAAATATCCTCTCTATCTGCAACATAACGCACTATATGTCCAGGCGTCAATAATTTTTCTGCATCCATATCGGGAATCTCAAATCCAAATTCATCTTCTACAGCCATAATAACCTCTACATGATCCAAGGAGTCAAGGCCCAAGTCATTTATAAAATGAGATTCCAAGCATAACTGTAATGCAGTGATACAGGTTAAAAAATTCTACTAAATATAATATTTATAGTTAAGCATGCAGATATTAATTATGCACAACTGACATGTAAAATAAATAAAATACTGCTTTATTTTTTCACACGATCTTCGTTGTAATCATTCTGTCGATAAATACGATACCTTTACATTCTATATAATATATATATATATGTAAACATGAAACTTATGTATACATGTCAGTGATGCACAAGCACCACGACTCAAGCGAGGTTTTAGCCAATTGTCTTTCCCAGGAAGCTATCTTTTAAGATATTTCTATAAATGCATCATTAATGGTTCTAATAAAAAGCATATAGTAGAAAAGTATATATATTATACCACTTGGTAATTTCAATTTATCATTTAAACCATGATATTCATTCACAGAAATATCCTTTAAGTAAAAAAATTTTAATCATTACTTCTTATAGCAGACAGATACCTTCTTGGGATCAATTTTATCGTACAAATTGAGTAATAAAAGCACCCGCTGACGAATTATATCGAGTGTTAATGGAGGCTTGGAGCTGTAGAGGCGCACCTGCTTGACTCGTAGCTCTTCTATATCCTGCAAAATAATGTCTTTTTACAGAATAATATATTTTACAACCTTATCCGCAGTAACTTTGTCATAGGCACGAACTACTTTTAATACACGTTCTTCGATATCCTTCGTCGTTGGCTTTGTTTTATATGTACGAACAAATCCAATCTTAACCTAAATATATTAAACAATTCAATTGTATAACCAAATTATCCTTAAATTCAAAGGATACTATTTTCTAGATTTTTGAATAGATTAACAAACCGTTGTTCTCCTTTATGGATCAGATTTTATTAACTTAACTTATGAAGAATATAATTCAAAACACTCAAAAAGAAAAACGTAAAATAATTTTATTCATGAATCGAGAAATCATTTATTATACGTACAAAGTATATGACACATGTAAAATGATATCTGATTTTTGAAATTTTTTTAAAACCATATGATTCTTACCCAGGGCAAAAGGATAATGTCTAAAACAATTATAATGTTTCGCGACAGGTATATCGTAAAAACAAAAAGAAGTTCAAAATTTTAAGTTACATAATATATGTATTAAAAAACGTATTGGATCGAATTAGACGAAAAGTTCATAGATTTTGTACAGTTGTTACGAGTGTTTACCTGCGATATATGTGGTACGACATTTTGTCTTGAACGATTAAGGAATTTTTCATAACACGTAAGTTGTCCGCTAACTCCACATAAATGTAATCGAGCGACTGAATTCCTTAAGACACCGGTATTTCTCGATAAAAGACGTGCAATAGTATAAGACGCCATTTTCCTATTCGATGAATGAGAGATAACCGGGCTCTACGAAATTTATCTACAGTCAAAGATCAAATATAAAAGTGATATGCAACGACGAAGAAAATTTGATTCAGCGCGCTATCTAGCGGTACATGTGAAAAACCATAATCGATTGAAATGTAGGTAACTGTGTATATTTTTCGAACTACGTAATTCAAAGTAAAAAATTATGCGACCGATCGATATTTTGTAATTTAATACGATTCAAATTTTATACGATTTATCTATATAATTATTTGTATTTGTACTATTGATAATTATAAAGTTGAGTACACGCATTGGGAAATTAATTGATAAAGATTAGATCTGTGCATTACAAAGATGTAAAAATTCATTCAACTAAGATCTGTAGTGAGTAATGGCGGTATAAAATTGATATGTCGCTTAAATATGTAAAATTCGTGAAATCTTGTTTAATGTTTAAAGTCAATTACAAATATTTTATTTCCAATAATTACAAATCAGTTTTATGTACGTAGGAATTATAAGAGCACGATTCGTCCTTGTACTATATATTTCTTGTACTTATAAGCAGACAAATCTCTCTAAAAACATTTTGACAATCAAATTTATTGATTTTCAAATACAAATTTGATAAAACTTGTCAAATTATTTATCCGTAATATATTAAAGAATTTATCACTTTAATGGAAAAGAAACTTTATAAAAAAATACTTTCTCCTAAAAAATCATGATTCTTGGGTAACAATTATAAGTTATACATCAAAAACACAGTCATTCCTTAGAATGAAAACATTTTTAAATACACATTTGGAAGCCATATGCCGATGACGTATAAACAAACAAGCAATGAATCGTATACATTTATATATACATACATATATATATATATATATATATACATACATACATACATACATACATACATACATATATATATATATATATGTATATATATATATATATATATATATATATATATATATATATATTATGAAATAATTAAAACTATTGTACATTTTCCTTTTTTTACTCTGAGACATGAAAATGAAAGTCAATTTATAATCGATAATAAATAATAATAAATGAACTTATAAAAATAAGCAAAAAAAATTAAATATTTTAATAAATATTTTTTATGGTGGTTTTACCACTAAAACGAAAAGTATCAATCCGTATATATTAGATGATTGTTTAAAATGTTATCTCTTTAACATAATACATAATTATTGTATAATGGTTCTGGTCTCATTAGTAAATCAATGTGATAGATAATTTTATGTGTTTACACATATATATCTGTTGTATTCTTGGGTTATTTAAATAAAATAAGTTTAGAAACGAAAATACGTTCAGCAGAATACGCATTCTCCCTCTCTCCTAAAAGACTATGCAACAAAATCTACCACCTGTCTTAAGTAATACTGAATTTCGCTTTAAAAAAAATACTTATCTATAATACAATACGCGTTAGAAAAAGGAACACTCTCTTGATATTTTTTGATGAATTTTGGAATAACGAGACGTGTTAGAAAAATTAATATGAACAATTGCGTAGAAAAAATGTCCTGGGATTATTCACAAAATGACATTTCAAGTTTTTAATATATAGAATACGTCATTTTCTATTTATGGGTAAGTAAAGAGGCACATTAATTAAGAGTTAACAATCGTTTGTATTTTTAACGCAACGAATAGTTTGGATAATATTATGTGTATAATGAATACAAGATGGAATTATGTGAGAATACGGGACTGAACTTTGCATTAATATCTAATTATTTTTAAATAATTTTATACGCGAGAAATTTTTCTATTTTCTTTCAATTTCGCATAACTTTTCTTAATAAAATTTTTCTATATCTTATACGCGGCTTCGGGAAAAAAAAGCAAAAAAAGAAAACAAAAAAAAAAGATGAATAAAAATAAAAGAAAAGAGAAACGAAAAAAAAATAGAAACTCCAGGAATACTTTTCATCCTTCGAGACTAAACGGGCAAAAAAGAAAATAGCGTTCGTGTCTCTACTACTTATTCACAACTTTTATAATTTATTTCAATTATTTTTTCAAAAAGTAATTACTTACAAAATAAAAATGCAGAAAATATTCAAAGTTCGTACCGTGCTCTCAATATTATCTTCATCCATTATTACATGCTTTTTTATCACCACATTAGTGCAATGTTTTTTTTTTGTTTTGTTTTGTTTTCGTACTCGGCAATAAGACAAAATTCATAGCATTTGTTATTTTTAAACGGTATTGGTAGAAACCATTCGTGATTCGTGACCAAGTCAATGCGAAATAAATTTTGTATTATTACCTTGTCATATTCGTTGAAATATCTCATGCTATCTATCAATGTCTTTTTTTTCTTTTTTCACTTTTTTACTTTCTTTCTTTTTTATTTTTTTGTTTTTATTTTTTTTTATTTATTTATTTATTTATTTATTTTTTTTTTTATTTTTTTTTATTTTTTTTTTTTTTTTAATTCTTTTTTTTTGTTCAAGTGATAGATGCACGGAAATTTCAATTCCCTTCACTTCTCAATATTTTTTATAACATGAATGACCCCAGTATGCTTCTAGGCCCCATAAAAAAGCAAATTGGGGCACGAGAAAAATGTTTATCACATTACCTATATTTTTAACTTTGTATATTTTGACCATGAATACAATAACATTTTAATATATGACCCAAATCATAGAGATATTATTTTCTTCAGTTCTTTTAAAAAGTATTATTTGTTTCATGGAAATTAATACACATCGATTGTTCTCTATAAATAAATTAAATAATATTATTAGGTAATAAGACATTTTTCCATTCATGATAATGAGAAAGCTAAGGAATCATTTGAAATTGTAAGGTTAGTATGCATAATCGAGTAACAGTTGATCCATGGGTTACCTTCATGTTCTATGCTTCGTCTAAGCAAACCCATGAATCATCTATTTCTCCCAGATCTGCATATTGACCTAGAGAATGGCCGCATTTCATCTCAGAATTTATGAATTTTAATTTATTATTTCTACAATTTTCTTATGATCATAAACCAAATACAAAGTATTTGATAATTGTGTATCAGAATGAAAGGGGTCTCCCTCAATCACACGAAAGTAAAAAGTTCATATGTACTGGAATCTTCCATTCCTTCGTTACTTTGACAAAAGTGTGTGTATGTATGTATGTATGTATGTATGTATGTATGTATGTATGTATGTATGTATGTATGTATGTATGTATGTATGTATGTATGTACGTATGTACGTATATATATATATATGTATGTACATACATATATATATATGTATGTACATACATATGTACATACATACATACATACATACATACATACATACATACATACATACATACATACATACATACATACATACATACATACATACATACATACATACATACATACATACATACATACATACGTACATACATACGTACATACATACATACATGCATGCATGCATACATACATACATACGTACATACATACATACATGCATGCATGCATACATACATACGTACGTACGTACGTATATACATACATATATATATATATATATATTTTTCTTGTGGATAAAAAAAATTGGGAGAAGAAAAAAGAAAAATAGACAAAAAGAAACAAAAAAAAAAAGAAAGCATTAAATTTAAGGATTGACTATAAATAATATCTTATCATACCTTTTTATCGCATAAAAAGGATAATATTATCATACCTCTAAACACACGAAGAACACTTGCTATACAAATAATTAATATCCAAACAAAAAATATTTTCATGAATTATTTGATGCACTAAAACGAACATCAAAAAAACTAACTAAATAAAATAAAATGTACACTTTTTAGTATGTTAACATAAAGTCAATCCAAAAATTTAATGACTATCAATATTTCTAAATATTTCATAGAATTATGTAGCAAGAATACAAGGTTGCAAGATAAGTATCATATGAACCTTCTTAATTATTTTTGGCTACATATCTGGAGTATGACCATTTTAGTTACACGGAGTAAATATTCGATAATTGGATGATGATCGTGGTTCTATCAATCAAATTCATATGATATATTAGAATTTGTTGTTAGAACCAGAATCTTGATCAAGCACCAATAAATATTATTAAATTCATTGTACTGAATGTTGAAACTTGAAGACAAATCTATCGTATGAATGTTTCATGTCCTGACAGTATTTATTTGTTTGAATTGAACATTTTCGAAAATTAAAAATACCGAAGAATGTTCATGATCTTTTATACAATATCCCTAATATATATACATATATACATATATATATATATATATATATATATATATATATATATATATCGGAGAAGATTCACAAATAATATGGTCGTCATATAAATTTTGCAATATATCTTCGATCGAAAAAATACAGCAACGGTAAAATTGATCAGATCTATTAGCTTACTCATTCTTCTTTACGCGACAAAAACATTCTTCCTTACGCGATTTCTATTTAGTAAATAATTTATTGGTGCTTGAACATATCTTTATGCATATAAGGCACTGTAAAAGATATAAACTGTATTCTCTTACGGAAAACGCTAGAACAACTGTATGGCAATTGTTGATGTTTCCTAGGAGCAAGACGTGAATATCTGATATCTATAAAAATAATATATATGACATTTATATCATACAATTATGATCGCGATTGTTGGAATCAAAAATTTTCGAGACAAATCATCTTGTTTTACGAACAAAATACTTGTTAAATTTATTCTAGTAACGGAAAAAAAAAGAAAAACAAGTTAGGAGAAAATTGATAAACAACCGATTACGAAATACTATTACATTTACAAGTTTATCAAACACAATGATTATATAAATAAACGATAATTAGTTGACAAATATGATCGTTATTATTTTGACACTACGTTTTGCGTAAATTTGTCATGCTCATACGCGTATTCGTTCAAAAATGAAATATAATGACAGATAGTATGAACTTCTTTTTTTTTTACAATGTATTGCCTCGTTGATTAATTTCACGCGTTAAAATGTTACAACATCAGTTTTCTTTTACAGTGCCTCA